TCCCACACCCGGCCCTGCCCTCACACACCTGACATGGCCCACGCTCACCACCACACCTGGGTGATGCCCCAGCCCCCCACCCACAGACTGGTTCTTCTCGGCACCTCCACTTCTCCTCCAGGCCCACCTGGGGCCCTTTTCCCTGGCCAGGTTGCAGGACCTCCTCCTCCTCCTCCTCCTGGGCCCCAGAGCTCCTGCTCCCCCTCGCCCCCCCCTCGCGGCCCCGTCAGCAGAGGTCCTTGTCCCGATGGACAGTCTGGACACTGCCACAGCTGGCAGTGCCTTGCTGCTCCCCCACACCAGTGCCCCCCATCAGCCCCGAGCCCCACGTCTCCTGTCCTGGCTCAGGTGGATGCATTGCCTGTCGCCAGCAACCAGGCCCCAGCACCTGGGCCGTGACTGAACAGCAAACGCAGGGAACACAAAATAAACAAAACGCAAATGGCACCACGGGCACATCTTGGGGTCCGCGGAACCTGTCAGAGGGGCAGCACCTCTCCAGGCCTCACCTGTGACCTCTCGCTGTGCAAAGGCTGATGCAGCACGTGGCTCTGCCCAAATCCCCCAGGTGCCGTTTCCAAGGTAACAGAGCAATACCAGCTGTGCATAATTAATGCTGATGTACACAACCAGCCTTACAGCACTGATGAACTCAGGCGAATGCCCTCGCAGGGGGAGGAAGAAGTTAGCGGCTTGGCTACAAGCAGCTTCCCAGAGGTCGTACCCGTGTTCCCAAGCACCGTTTAGTCCTGGCCCGCGTGAGCAAGGCCTGGCACGGCAGGCCCCAGGCTCGGCTGAGCTCAACGCTGCGCTCCACACAGAGGACGTGAGGACGTCCTCGCGGCGTGCCCCCAGTACTGCTGATCCCTCCCGGTACTCGCACGCGGAAGGGTGTGACCGTGCTCGGCCCCGTTCCCACCCGTGCTGGGCGTGGGGGTCTCTGCTGTAGCACTCCTGCTGCCACCGTCGCCCATCTGAGCCATGCCAACTGCACCACAGAGAGGTGGTCTCCCATCCCAAGCCTCTCACAGCCCGGGCCATGCCCTCCTCTGCCTCAGCTTCCGACAGCTGCACCCACCTGTAAGAAGCAGGTCCCCACAGGCGTGTTCTCCTTCAGAGACACGTTGTAGAAATTACTCCTGAACACGGGCTCGTTGTCGTTGACATCCTGCAGGGCCACGTGCACCACGGCTGAAGAAGAGAGGGCCGGGCTTCCCCGGTCCGTGGCCAGCACAGTCAGCTGGGGCTGAGGATCCTTCTCATAATCCAGCGGGGCAGCGGTGGTGATGATACCTGTGGCAGGGTCAATGGCAAACCAGCTGGAGTGGGAGTCACGGCCGTGCACGATACTGTACTGCACCTCCCCATTGGGACCCTGGTCCTTGTCACGGGCTGTCACCTGCAGGACAAAGCTGCCTGGGTACACAACCTCGGGGATGCTTTGTTTGTACTCCTGCTGGTCGAAGAGTGGAGGGTTGTCGTTGATATCCATCACCTGCAGCACGAAGGCTGACTCTGCCCGCAGCGGGGGCGTTCCCGAGTCGGTGGCTGTCACCCGCAAGTCGTAGGAGTCTCTTTCCTCCCGATCCAGGAGCTGGTCCACGCAGATCAGGTAGATGATGTTGTCCTTGGTAGTGAGGGCAAACTTGCCGTCCCCTCCCTCCAGTGTGACGTTGACATTGGAGTACTCGCCATAGTCTGGGTCGGAAACGGAGATGCGTGCCACGTACTGGCCAGGCTGGGCTCCCTCGGAGATCTGGGGGGAGCCGTCCTCGCTCAGGAAGATGATCGTCATGGTGGGCTGGTTGTCGTTGTAGTCACGCACGTGAATTGTGACAAAGGCTGTGGTGACCTCGGGGTGGACTGCCTTGTCCCTTGCCTGCACCACCAGCTCATGCACCTTCCGTACTTCATAGTCCAGACCTTTGTTGAGCTTGATGACTCCAGTCCGGGAGTCGATGGTGAAGTACTGGTCAGGATCGCTCTGCCGCCGGTTGATCTCATAAACCACGTCCCCATTGTCACCTTCATCCGCGTCAGAGGCGAAGACCTGCAGGATGCTGCTGCCAGGTTTCAGATTCTCCGAGATGAGAGTGTGGTAGCGGCTCTGGTTGAAGGTAGGAGCGTTGTCATTGATGTCCTGAATGGACACATCCAGCGTCATCTGGGTGCTCCGGGGGGGAGAGCCACCGTCATAGGCTTCCAGCAGCAGCGAGTAGGATGAGCGGTTCTCCCGATCCAAGACGTTGCTGACCACCAGGTCCAAGTACAGGACGCCATTGGGCCCTCGGCGTGTTTCCAGACGGAAGGCCTGCCCCACGTTCTCGCCCTTAATGACGTAGCCTTGTGTATTGAGTAGGCCGCTGTCGGCATCGAAGGCTGGGTCCAGGGGAAATCTGCTGCCAATGGGGGTGTGCTCGGGGATCTGGAAGGTGCGGTGCTGTTTGGGAAAGGCTGGAGCATGGTCATTAATGTCGTTCACTTGGATGTTCACTTCCACCGTGACGCCCTCCGGGGTAACAGCAATGAAGCTGTAGTGGTCCCGAGTCTCTCGGTCCAGGACACGAGCTGTTTTGATGATACCGGTGTTCTCATCTATCCCCAGGTCAGTGGTAACACCGCTGCTCTCCTGAGCAGAGATGAAATACATGTAGGCACTGGTTCCCAGGGGCAGGCCAGCACTGATGTCCCCAATGATGGTGCCAGCTGGCTGCTCCTCATCTATTTGTAGATCCAGGGTGCCCAGGACGGTGGAGCCCTTCCCTGCTCTCAGGCCCCCAAGAATCAGCAGCTCCAGCAGAAGCACGGCTGACCCCTTCATCTGCTCCATTGCCAGTGACTCGCAGAGCAGAGGGTGGCTCGGTCTCCCTCGCAGCGTGTGCTCTAATCCTGCATGGAATGCAGACCAGAGGATGCTGGTTAAGAGGGAGCAGCAGAGGAAGGACAGAAAGAAACTTGGAGAGGGAAGGCCTGCCACGTACCCACTGCCCGACTGCCCTGTATCCCCTACCCCCTCCCCGGAGCGACGGTGAAAACGTGTCAGAGCAGAGGGTGCCCCGAGCGAAGGCCCAGGACAGCACCCGAAGTCAGCCACGGAGGGGACACCCGGCAGCGCGCTGAGGCTGGCAGCCAGTGCCCAATTCCCACATGGTCAAGAGTTCTTCCCAACCACCCGCCCCCCAGCACCGGAGCCATGCCCCAGAGCATTCCTGTGCCTCCGGGAGACGCTGCCTGCAAGACGACACAAGCAGCAGCCCAGCTCTCCACCCCGACAAAAAGGTGGTGGTGGTCTCAAACTGGGAGAGAGCTCACCAAGTGACCATGTTGAGACCCCCCTGCCTGCCCCCCCCAGTAGCACACTGGGATATAGGTGCCAAAAACCCCATGAAGTGTAAATCTGGTGTTCCTGGGAGAGAGCAGCAGAACTGGAGCGGGCTCACATCCAGTGAACAATAAATCAGAATGGCTGTACTGCAAGGGATGTACCCACAGTGGGAATGCCCAGGATAAAATCAGACAGGGCCCATTGTCTGGCCTGGCGTGGAGATCCGTGGATGCCCCGAGCTGGTACCATGGAGGGTGGTGGCAGTACAGCAGGAACGCAGCAACTCCCTCTGAACTGCCAGCTGCTCTGGCTCCTTCCCCGTCCCACACCCTCCACCGCTCGCTCTCCTCCTTTGTCTCCTTCTCGCTGCTCCTTGCTCGTTCTGGCTCCTTCACTCCATTTCCCCCTGCCGTAGCTTCATTTCACTGCAGCAGTGGGGGAGGGACGCGCAGGGAGGAGCAGCTCCCTGCAGCAACACCACTCCTGGACACGCTGGACGGGCTCCCAGTGCCCACAGGCCGCCAGCCCCCCCGGCTCTGCCCACCCTCCCTGTGAAGAGCCAGAGGAACTCGGCAGTCAAGGAGCTGGTGAAGAACACCAGCCCCAGTGCTGCTCTCAGCCCCCGGTAAGCGAGGCTTAGTGGTCTGCAGGGATGGCGGCAGCATGAGCTCACACTTGGACTCTCTTGAAAGCATTTGCTGCTGGTCCCATAACCACACTCAGGAGCCGCTCATGTCAGAGGCAGGACGGCAGGAACCTCCCTGTCTTGGGGGATGGAGGTGGCTGACATTGCCTCCTTTGGGGACTAAGAATATCAGCTCTTGGTCTAAAGAACCCTACTGGACTGTTAACCCTTTCCAGGGGACGTGGGATGATTATTCCTGGGTCCTCCTTCCCACCTCAGGTCAGCTGTTTAGGTCAGTTTTCCCTGTGGAAATCCTGGGTTAGTGACAGAAAGAAAAACATTGAAAAGAGTTTTCTACATATAAAGAAGTGTTTGTTGTCTTCAGTGGGCACCCAGCGCCTGAGGCCTGGGGCAAGTAAACCCACACGCTCTTCTTGCACCTATCGAGTACGAATCCTTATCACGTCTGAGGAGCAGAAGTCGACAGAAGATACTTTCACCCCTGCGGGCTGCTAGCTGGGGATCTGCACTACCTCAGTGGTCCTGGACAGATCTCGCTGTTGGAGCGGGTTAAACTTCCCCAGTGGGAGGGGTAACTGCACACATCCAGAACAGGCAGTGCTGGGGGAGCGGGGCGAAACTGAGTGTGACCCAGCCGCTCAGCTCGTGGGAGGGTATGGGGCAGAGGGTTTAAAGCCTTGGCAGGAGGTTGGACAAAAGCTAAATAAAAAAGGGAGTAGAAAAACAGGTAGAGGGACAAGGCTCTCTGGGGCAACCTCAGTGGCTGAGGACAGCATGAAGCTGAAAGGTCTTGGGTAGTGCCTGGAAGAGATCAGGGCACAGATATGGGGCAAAAACCCGAAACACCTGGTTTGGTTAGTGATGTGGCTCTTGAGAAGCTGAAGGGAGTGCAGCAAGGCTTTGTGGGCTGCTGGCAGGGAGGAAACTTGAAAAGCAAATCTTTTGTGCGAAGAGCAGCTGAGAGCACTGGCACAACCGGGGAACAGAAATTAGGGTCCTTGGGGTGGGGAACCGGTGAGGAAAATCTGTGTAAACTTCTTCCTTTCCATCCTCCCCGGATGCAAGCGGGTGGTTTCAGAGCCAAGCCACCTCTTCGGCAAGAGAGGCAACCACCGGTCCGCACCATCCAAGGTGGGCAGGCGGCCATCCATGTACCAGCAGCCCCCTGCTCCTCGGAAATTTGCAGGCTTGGGCCGGAGAGGAAGACAGCAGTGACCTCAGTGGATGCAGAGTCACCAAATCTGAACAGCTGCTTCCAATTAGCAGATAGCTCAGCGCTGGGGGCTGGCTTGACTGGTCCAGGCCCAGCCTGTGTAATGTGAGCCAGACTGCCCTGCTCCCTCTCTGTCCCTCCCACCATCGGGCACTGAGCTCCCCAGCAAAAAATGGCAGCAGAAGCCTCAGAAGAAAACTGCTGCATGAGGACCTGTTCGGAGAGGGGTTTGGGGTCCAGAGCCGTGGTGAGGACGTTGACGGGAAGGGCAGCTAAACCAGACTCAACCGCCATACACACAAGCATCTCCGCGCCCAGGGCCGATAGGCCAGGGCACCAGCAGAGCCCGGCCTAGGCTTAGCGGGTAAGTCACATAGAGAAAAAAAAGATACGGCATTAGCGAGAGACCACTGGATGCACCCCTGCCTGCCCGGCAGCACCTCGTGTCCCAGCACAGCCACGAGGAAGGGGAAGCGGGCCCACAGTGGCCCCAGCAGAGGAGCTGGGAAGCCGGCACCCACTGTGCATGCCACAAACAGATGTCAGAGTGCTTGCTGTGCAAAACCTCCATCAAAGCTGCAGATGCTGCTGATGCCATACCCCAAGTCTCACATGAGAGGCCATGACTCATGGGACGATGTTTTTGAGACTCCAGTCCAGATGAGGATTCAGAAGCCCGTTTAATCTTTGCTGAGCACCAGGAATACGCTTTTCTACGTTCACACAGCTCGCTCTCTCCTGCCCTCAGAAGCAGGCACAGCCCAGGCTCGCCTGCAGTGCGGCCTCAGGCTGGCAGCTCCCTTGACACCTCTGCCGAGTCTGCCCCTACCCACAGCCGTCTCCGCGCCCCCTGGCCCTCCTGACACCTCCCACCTGGGCCCTCGGTGCCAGCCCCCGCGGGGGTGGCTGCCAGCCCCGCCGCCCGGCTCGCCTCCCTCGGGCAGCGGCTCTGAGCAGCGGCCGGCGGCGGGGACCATCCTCTCGGGGGGATGCAGCCGAGCTCCGCCGCATCCCTGCGCATCCCCTGGCTGTGCCACACCAGGGCTCC